CGACCTTGCGGTCTGGGGACATCTCGGTGGACTTGAACAGCATCGGCCGTCGACGGTACTCCTTAATCGCATTGGACTTGATCGGCGGTGTAAGCAAGTCGAATATGCGATCGTTGTAAACCTCGTACATAGAGATGACGACAGCGTACTCGGCGGACGGGTCGCACGATGCTCGAATTGAGCTGATGTTCGGAACCTGCGGCGTGATGGGTGGCCGCTGCAAGGTACGCCTCGGCGTCGGTGGCGGGGGATACTCGCCCTTTGGTTGCGTTTTAGTATTATTCTTGCCTTTAGCTGCGGAGGTGAGGAACATGTAATGCTTCTTGGGCGAGGGGGTCCTGGCCAACTTTGACCTGCTAGACGCTGTTGGCGTCTCTGCTCCCACGGGAGCCTTGTCTTTCTCGCCCGGAGGCGTCGATAGAAACGTGATTCTCGACAGGTCATCCTCATGGCTGACAAGCCGTACGCTGCCGGGGCTTTCTGGGAAATGACCCGGCAGCTCAGGGCACATGGACAAAAGAGAGGGGCGGACGAAATCATTCTGGGGTCGTACCATCATGGGCGTGGCTGCCCTGGACCCGGCGCGCGATGAACCAGCAACATCGCCATATACGGTTTCTAGGAAGCTCGAGGCCGAGTAGAGGCTTGCCTCAGATGCGTCTGAGGACCGTAGGCTCGCCTCCAGGGTAGGCGATGCTTCGCAGTCAGCTATATTGGTATCAATCGACCTGAAGATGACGTCGAGTGCCAGTTGAGTCAGACCGCGCTGGCTTCGAGAGCCCAGCATGGTATGTGTCTGTATAGTTTTGATTCGGTCAGATGAATGAAAGCTGCAGTTCGGGAGATGGCTAGGCAGACTCACCTTGCCCGAGCCAGTGACTCCTAGAGTGGCCAACAGGCCGTCAGTGCCATCGCCTCCATGGGGCGCAAGTACTCCCTCGACCAAGGGCAGGACTCTGGTGCCTTGAAATAGATCTAATTGCGTGGCATCTTCCTCGAATACTTGGGTGAAGGCGAACTTCTCAATCGCTCGTCTGCGATCGTTCGGGGGGTTGAGGGTGATATGGGTTGGCGCGTGATCTGGCTCGGGATCTTCGACTAAGAGGAATCGCTCGGCAGCGGCGTTGCCAGCCTGGGGAGGCCGTAGTCGCAAGTACACCTGGAATAGATTCGCATGCGATTTCGGGGGCGGCTCCATTGTTGCGGGCTACCTTGTATTACGGTAGTAGGAATGCGAAGGTGAGGGTTACTGGTGGCAAGTTGGACAAAGGTGGTTCAAGACGTACAAGCAGGAAGGTACAAACAATCATTGAAGGGTGAGCAGGTTGTTGTATAATGAATGCATTGTAGGTAGGTGTCAGGTGTCAGGTGTCAGGGATGTAAATAGTTGTTTATCTTGCGCAGATCACCACGGCAACGTTGAGCAACCATGCTAAGTGAGAGAAGCCACATTAGCCCCGCTTTTAAATGTCGATCAGCCCCTTTCCCCAAGCACCAAGCCTTAAGAAACAATCAACCACTCTGTCCCGCCATCAACCAAGTCCTCCGATTCCACTTCTGAGGCGGTTGGAAGACATCACACAATCAGCCATCATCTACCTGACACCAACGATCATGTGTTTCTCTCATAGGTGAACCACGCAGACCAAGCCCCGGCAGCAGCCGCCATGAGGTACACATGATCATGATTAATTCGGCGTACGCGGCTTCAGGCTGGTGCCGAGAACCAGTAAGTAGGGGAGGAGGATGTGTACGTTCGGTTCCAGTACGACTACAACCAGCTTCTTCCGATTGACTTCTAGGAGATCGAAGAGTTCGCTGGATAACAATTTTGTTCACTCCCTTATTTCGAGACAAGGGTGTGTATGTAAGATGTATGGGAGGGACCCTGGGAATTTCCAGCCTTGACCACGATAAGAAGAGAGGCGTCAAAGATGTAATTTGCGATTGCAAGAGTAGATTGTGTACATAAATCTAGCAATACCACTGTTATGCTTCCAGCGATAGGTCGGCGGTATCCGGGTTTCGGCAACTACAGGTCCCATCCAATTGACAATGAGGCATCATCAGTGCAGTACATGAGCACCCACGAAGATAGGCTTACTTACATCCTGCCAACATATGCTCACTCGCCAGCAACCTGACTCACCAGCAGCACGCGACCAGGAAAGCCAAAAGGTCAATCAACACTAGGGCGGCAGCGACCCAGGATCATGAGTATACTGATGCGTGGCGCAGTCTACCTGCTTTTCTCCCCTATACAGTCACCGCCGACCGTCCGACCCTAGATATTGGATGCCCGTCCATGTTCCGTATGCCTTTCCCCCCCGTCCTCGTTATAGTTCCCCTATTGCCGTCCCAGTACCTAGCCCAATGCAATCTTCCGTGTAAATTATTCATACGTACCCGTAGTAGCTAAAGGGGGCAGACCCAAAGAAGAGATGCAGCGAGCGAGGAAGCTGGTGCCGACGATGGCAAGTGTGTGCATGCAATAAGACGCCCTAGATAGGATAAACACCAGAATAGAAAACCCCAACTCCAAGCTGTGAGGATCATCAAACAAAGAACGTCTCAATGAGAAAATCAAAAACCTCGTCTGTACTCGGTATCTTGCCCCAACGAAATACCGACTTCAGGGCTCGGTCGTTGGAGGCGGAGCCCGCGACGCCGCATTCGAGGTAGACCCTCTCGGCGCCCGAGAGCTCGCGCTTCTCCGTCTCTCTCCACTTCTTCTCGGCGGCGCGTTTGGCGTTCTTCAGGATCTCCTCCGTGTTCTCGGCCTCCCAGAGGTTGCACTTGTCGCATTCCCGGCACCGGGTGCCGTCGCCCTCGGGCCGGAAGTGCTGGCAGAAGTGCTGGTACCCCGCGCTGGGCGCGCCGATGTCCTTGCGGCAGACGTAGCACATCTTGTAGCCGCAGGGGCAGACCATCTTGTTGCACCCGGTCGTCTTGACGAAGGACGTGTGGCAGCGCGGGCAGACCCGCTTGACCGCCATCGACATGGCCTGCTCGACCTGCGTCCGCAGTGCGATCAGGGACGACTCGTGACAGACGTGGATGTCTACCCATGCTTTCGAACATGCCAAGCACGAAGGGCGTCGACACGCGGGGTTCTGACAATTGAACTTCAAGCCCCGATGACGACGTTGGTGACGGCTTACCGCGGCCCGGAAATGTCGTCTCATCCACTTCCGATACATACGGCTAAACCATAGGAGGGTGAAGAGGAGTACCGCGATGGTTATGACAGGTATTGTCACGGGGAAGGCAAGGAGACTTATGCCGACGAAAATGAGGTTCGGCAGGTTACTCGTACGAAATCGCGGACCGGTGGCGCTGGGAGGCACATACAAGTCGTCAACTTCGGCGTAACTACAAAAGGGGCAATGAATGAGGTTCAGCCCGCTGGCGACGAGGTCGTGCTCTGCCAGGCGTTGATCAAATTTGTGCAGGATCTCAGCCCCGTTGCTTACTTCCCCTAAGGCACGATGGATATGTTCGGCCGATATGTGACCTTCGCATTCCGTAGACGACACGGCCGGGCATCTCAGCGTGCCGGTGTCCTTGTTGATGCTGCGCTGCCACCCTTGTCCGAAGACGGCCTCCGTAATGGAGTGTTGGACGCAGCGAAAGCAGAGCATGTGCCCCTCCACCGTGCAGGTGGTCATCTCTTCGAAAATGGCGTCGGTGAAGCAGCAGCAACACTCGTACATAGCCTCGCAGGCCTCGGCCTCCTCGTTCTGCAGAGAGGCGGCGAGGGCACGGTCTTTGTCTTCCCTCGACGCCTTCTCTCGTTCCTTCAGAGGCATTATAAGTTCGTCGAACAGTTCTCGATCCAGTTCAGCACTGCCGGTCGGCTTCAGGGTGGGCTGCAGGGTGCCTTGGTTGGAACATCGCCAGATAATTAAAGGATGGGTTTCTGCCTCGGCCGAGGTGACAGGCTTGCGTCGGAAGATCAGCGAGGAAATGGTAAACTTCCAGGACTTGGAGGACAGGTCTACGAGGGTCGGTCGGGCGTCGAGATAGGAGTAGTTGGACTCGGACAGAACCGCGCTGATGGAGGATCTCGAGAGGCCTTTGAACTCCTGCATGGCCAACTTCTCGGATGCGTCTCGATACTCCTTCGTCCTGAAAGATTCCCTGTGCGGTATAAGGTTTTCCTGAGCGGTACCTCGGTTGCTAGGCTTTCGGCGTCCCTTCACGTATCCGGTGGGGTTCTTGAGCAGTTTGTCCGTGACAACAAAGAGCTTGGACTCCGCGGAGAAGGAGGAAAGCATCTCCCTAAATACCTCTACTTGGATATCGGGGAATACCGCTGCCAGCGTTTCCAGACCGTTGTTCATGTCGAGGACATCGTCGGGGGGCGCATCGATGCGTTGGAGCTGCGATTCGTCCGAGAGGTATTCTAGGGGAGCCGTGTACGAGCTCGGGGGTCGCGATGGGGATCGCGAAAGGGACGGAGTCGGTGACGTTGACCGTGAAGGTGACAGTGATAGTGATGATGACGAGTCCGGTAACCGTTTCTCGGATTTGGATTTGTTGGATTTGGTTGATTTGAACGAGTCTCGCCGGCTCGAGGAGCCCCCTAATAAGCCTGAGAGGAACATGGCTTGTTCGGTCAAGTGCACCTCGATGCAAGTCTCATTGTCGCACTGGCAAACACAACTAGTGTACGCAAAGAGGTAGGGGGGAATATATCGCTGGCGCCAGCAAATATTTGCATTTACAATAGATAGGCATGACTTTTTCTTGCTATACCAATCAATACGTCAAATGACAGTTGGAAACCAAGAGAATTACGGAGTAGTCGGGTGTCTCATTATAAAAAACAAAATCAAGCTATAATGCTTAATTTAAACTTTATTACCGCCTATTAATCCTTCTTTATTTGAAATTTTATCAAAATTTTATCTTCTATATACAAGAAAAATAAGGCCTGTTAAATAAAATAAAAACTTTTTGATAAATCTGATAAGATTTCATCAAAAATCTTGAAAGCTGGGCTCCTCCGGGAATCGAACCCGGGACCTCTCCCAATTCTACAGGAATTACTTAGGAATTCCGGGTGTGAGTCGCCCGAAGGGAGAATTATACCGCTAAACCAAGGAGCCGACCGAATTCTTTGATTTACGGGCTGTTTTCCGGGTATATATAGCCTGAATTAGAAGTAGATCATGATTTTACCCAATAAGAGTTAGGGGTGGCTAATCTGACCAAATATGGCTGTGCCCCAGTCAAATGTGGCTTATTATGATCCGTGCCCTGGTTAAATGTGGCTATGCCCTGCCCAGGTGGTGTTCGCATGTTGCGCCCGAAGGATGGAGGTGAACTAGACGATCCTTAGGTTCAGTAGCCTGGCAGCCTCCCAGCTTAATGGAAGTCGGCCCAACGCATCGAAGAAACTCGCTCACTGTTTTATTATTTCCGTAAAATGCATGTATCCATTCGATCGTCGGGCCTGTATTGTCTCGGCTCTAAGTATTGGAAGGAAGGGGTCGATAACTGGATCTGGGTCTTATCCTGTCTACTTCCTCGTGGCAGGATTCGGATGTCAATCCTTATTGGCAGAGGCTTTCTGACGACGTTCTGCGTGTCAAAGACCGCATGGCTGGTAGCCGCATGTTGCGGCGGCCGAAGGTATGATGAATGAGGGTGAAGCAGAGGTTGGACAACTGTTCAGGAGCTTGGTGCAAGCCAGCGGGATGGGTCATCCAACAGTAGACACGTCTGTAGATGCCTGTTTAATGTTAGCCTAGACGTGGGTGGATACTCGCGTTTCTGTGATAAGGCTTTCAGTAAATAAAATAAGGGGAAGCTCGTCCGTCCTGCCTCATTTTCGTTGCGACATTTGGATATCGGTAATTATCGACCGAGTTGGCCTCAAATTAGGCTGTCTTCAGATGGGCGGGGCGGACGTAGTTCTGTTTCGTAGACCCTTTGTCGAGCTTCATTCAGCTCGCTCCGAGTGAAGGAGTAACCGGCGCACGAGATATCAGCCGTGCCCGAAAGCTGTATACTCGGATCTCCTAGCCGAAAAGACCTGGCTGGACTTCTGAATGTAAGAGGAGGATGATCATGACGGCAAAACGACGATGGTCGACAAGCTTTTTAAGGATGTCGAAGGCTTTATCAGAATTATCAGTCCACTCAACCATGATCGGAGGCGCTGGTGGATCCTTGCGCGTCTGTGGTGAGGCTTTCGACGAACCAGGGGTATCGTCATTTGATATGGTGGTCGGGTGCTTGCGTTTCGTGGTCTGGAAGACATAACTATCATAGGGGTATTTTGTGGCGGAAAACGAAGAAAGAACCACAGGAGACGCTCGCCTCTGGCCAAATTACCTTTTCTCCGATAGGATATGAAACATTCAGGACCAGCAATGTATGGCGTGATGAAATTACACAAATTGCCTTCCAAGTTATCTTTGGCTTGGGGGCAGATGTATCCTGGTATATGCCGTTCTTGAGCTTCGCTGTCTTTGAGGTTTGTATGGATTCTCCGTATTATTCTCTGGGTCACTGCCTCGTTACACTGCTTTGCTTTATCAGCCGATGATGGGGCCGATCGTAGGGTGAGTTTAGATTTCGTAGCGACGCAGACGATACAGACCGATCGAAGGGGTCTCTGCCGTTGCGCGTTCTACAGGGCTGGTTGCCGCTGCATTGTGGATAGCATGTAGATCAGATGGTTGTAGTTGTCCTGCCTCTAGTTCAAGGCACAGGTTCTAAAGGATGCCCGAAGAGAGGTGCGGCTTCGAGGTGACAGATGATCGATGGGCTTTCTGGCTTCACTCTTTGATGCTCGCCTTGGGGAACCGACGGTCAGTCTCTCGACTGAGGGGGCTTGGTGGAGAATCGAGGTCGGTGCCTGGCATGGTTGTCGAGAAGCTTTCTGAACGATTATGATGAACGAAACAAAGAACATGTCATGGTGGTGTTGGGCAATTGCATTGCATATGGATAGAACAAAGAATATAGATGAGTTCAACCTCCTCAAGTACACCAAAAGTTGGTTGCGCAAGACCACCATAAAGATGAAGATATTAAAAATTGGCGTGACTTCAATTCTAAGGTCTATTAATAATGCACATTAAAAGCAACAAAGAGGAAAGGGGCTGGCACAAGTCTAAGGGCATGATCTTGACAAGTGTAGCATCACGTGCTCCTCCGATTCAGCAATGTAACTGGATAAGTAGTGTTCTATAGACTATTCCACAAGGCACACACCTACTTATTCAAATCATCTTATATGATTCAAATAGCAGGCTCCAATATAACACCATACTTTTATCCCACAGATTTGTTCAGTCACTCCCTGTCATGTCTACTTGTTTTGCCATTCAATGGCTACATATAATCAGCGTGGCTTACGATTAGTTGACGGGTACGTAGCTAATGAAAAAAAAAAAGGATATTGGAAGGCGAGAGATGAGAGTCTCAAAGACAAAGATGGAGTTTGTATCCGATAGTGATATGTGACTTGATGCCCTCAGATCGCCTTTACCCATTAAACATCAATTGTATCGCGAAGTTGCAGAGGCCCGCGACGTGCTGTGATACATCATACATATCACAACTGGAATTCCAAAAGCCAATCGCTCATATATTGCAACGGAAATGAATGTTGCAAAATAGTTTTTACACTCGCACGTATCGTATGTCGGTTTCAAGTCAGCAAGAAGATCCTCACTGTTACTACCCCTTTTCTGATTCTGTCGTCAGTTCTAACCCCCTTTCTGTTGTTTAGTACCTTCTCTTTGTGATGGGCTCGCGCAGTCGGATTGCGCAAGACCATCACAAAGAAAGCTTTGAGTATGAATACGAGAGTGGTATCTAGAGGTTGGGTAGATTATAAGTAACCTCGCCATTGTAGCGACCGCGCGAGGTTCAGCCATGGCGTGGACTGGACACTCAGACAGCCTTGTACAAACCCTAGGTGTATTAAAATATGACAAACTTGCAAATAGGGGTTGTAGATATTTTATCATATTAGATCTACATGGACACATATATTCTCAAGGTATACTGTTCATCAGTTGCTTTTTACAGTCATTCATTGGTCGTCATTTCATCATTCTCTACTATCGCCCTAAACGCTTAAAATGTACGCCGGCTCTGTCCGGAATGCACACCCCGGATCCCTTCTCGTAAATGCCGGCACGAGCGAGAGCAAATGTTAATAATGTACAAAATGATGGTGGTGTTAGGGTGGCCCGTGGATACTTTGGTTAGCATCACGGCAATGGATGTGACCTGGGTTCGAGGCGAAGCCAGTATGTATCAATGCACCATCTCATCGGCGCTCATCGACTCATCCTCGTCTTCCAACCCCAGTTCCCTAGCTTCCTCCCTGGCTTGTTTTGCGGCTTCCCAAGCCGGAGCTTGCATCTGATAACCGGGGGGCGGACTCCACTTGGGACTTCGCTTATGCTTGCGAAGACGTCTATGAAACCTCTGGCGTTCCCAGATGTCCATATACATCGGGTCGGATTTGGTGAAGTCGGTGTTGGTGATCCAGTCGAGAACCTCGGCCACGAGGTCGCCGACCTCTTCACCGGTCCGCCATACCAAAGCTCTCCCTTTGCCCCTTGTAGCCCACTCGTCCAGCATGAACGGCATTGTGTATGGGAAGTACGGCTCATTTGGAGACCAATCACAGGGGACCTGAGGGGTACAGATACACTCTTGGGCCTCGTAGAAATGGCAGAAGACGGATTCGAGAATATACCAGATAGTGAAAAGCAGCGATAGGAGACCAAAGGTGGTAAGCCTAAACTTCGGTTGGCGGCGATAGAGAGGGGGGATGCGTAGGATGAGACCGTCAGGTAATGATTGATGGCGGGCCGTATCCGGGCCAGGTTTCGAGTCAGAGCTCAAGCCGGCTGGGTCAGCTGGATGCGGATCTGCTTTCTGCTCAGTGTGGGTAACCTTGTCTTCTAGGCGTTCAATCCCTTTCTTGGCAGAGCGTATTCCCATGAGGCCAGTCTTCAAGGTCTTGCTCATCCGATCGTAAGCTCGGAGTTCCCTCTCGTGTTCCGGAAGATCGGAAAAGTCCAGATCATCGCTCTCCATCTTGAGAACCGTGTCGTTGACCATCTGCTCGAGCTCTTCGTCATCGAACTTGTGGTTAGCGAGAAGAGAGTCAAAATCCTCGAGAGTGGAATCGTCAATTTGGTTCATGCGCAGGATAGACCGGATATCTTCCTTGACCGATGGGGGATTAGCCGTATTGATCAGAGGGCGACGCCTTCTGGCATGAGACTTGTTGTCGGATAGGGAAGCGGGAACAGAAGAGGATCTTGGTTCAGATGTGCTCATCATTTTGGGCCTGCCTTTGTCCTCAGATTGGGAGCTCTGTGTCTCCCGTGAATGACTGAGGTTTCGACTAGGAGGGGCACGACGAAGCTCTGGAGCCGCAAGCAGCCCACCTGATGCCCGCTTGTCTTCTAGTGGCTCTTCCGTCTTAACTTTAATGGTAGCAGGCGTTTCGACGTAAGCGCCAGTGACACGAGGAGTGGGCAGCGTCATAGGATCAATCTTGACAGGGCGAGGCGTCTCTTCTTCCATTACCTCGGATGGATCAGGCGAGGGGGCTCTGATAGAACCCTTCTCCGAATAGTTGTCCATTGGAGCAAACAATTTCATCTCAGCCTCGATACGGTCCGTAGGGTCTATTTCGGAAGTCGGTCGGCTTGATCTCTTCTCTTGGAGTGAATCGCTCGACGCGTCTCTTCGCAACCCCGCAAATCCGACGGTCGGTCTTTCTCTGGAGCTCTTAACACCCAGGTTCCTAGACCTTCGTTCATCTCGTGTCAAACGCGGTCGACTCGCCTCCCTGCTCGCTGAGACTTGTTGTTGTGGGGGATGCTCGATGTGCTTTGACTCCTCCTGCGTTTTCCTCGCAGTCTCGCCATTTTCTCGAGTCTCCATTGCCGGGGGACTAGAGCTGACAGCCCGCTCAAGGCGTCGCAACAGATCGTGTGAATCATTCCGTCCCAACAGCCCCGATCCATGGCCGAGGTCACCTGCTTGAGAGAGACCCGCCTTCTCACCGGCTGTTTCATTCCATTTTTCGGGACTGATGTTCCTTGGTGCAGTGACTTGGCTATGC